ATTGATTAGCTATTAACTCTAATTGGTATTCACAAGTCCATTGAACCTGGATATTTTTTTCAATTACACACTAAATCTTTAAATAGCATTAATAAAAATGATTTATTAATGTTTTTCACAACTTTATATAATTTTAAATTACATAATCTTATTCCTTGGATTTTGACCTTCAAAATAAAAAAATTGTTTTTACAATGATTTTAAGCAAAGATACATTAATTTAAAGTTTTATCGGATATATTGGACCCGCAAATACCAAATAATCCTTTGTATCACGAATTTTTATATCAAACCGATTTTCTTGAAACTTTGTATTCGGAGATTTCTCGAGTTGCTGCTTACGAATCAGAAGTCAGAATTTTAAAATTTTTACTTTAATCCATTATACCGATTTCGCCATTTTGGATTTAATTTGAAAATTTTGATTCTCAAATTAGGATTCGGTGATCCAAAAAATCCTTAGAACACCATTATAAAAGATATTCAAACTATTTGGATTTACAGTAGAAAATATCGATTTTTCCATATTTTTCAAAAATTATCAATTTATAATAAAAAAAATTTATAAAAAAATATAGCAGAAAAATTTGAAAAAATTCTGAAAAATACTTTAGGATGTCCTAAATAAGCTTAAATTGCCATTTTGATGTTGGTAATAGTTAAGTAGAAAATGCACTTTTTTTAAATGCATAAATTTTGACTACTTGTTTAGTTATATAATAACTACGCAAATAAAAATTTATGATTACCTACTTTTTTTAACACTTATTCATGTTCTATAAATTCTGCAACAAAACAAAAAAAACAGTATTTAACATCAAGAAATTCATCAAAATAATGAAAAATCAAGTGGAAAAAGATAGCATGCTGACTCGTCATGACGCAGAAGATTAAGGAAATTTCCGAGCGAATACTACTAAATTTAAAGGGGGATTCTGATCTAACAATAAGAAAACCATTTTCAAGGTTAAATTTCAGGTTGGTTTTTTTTAAAGAAAAACTATTGAACATAAAAATTTTACATATTTATTTAAATTTAAAATAAATGAATGAATTTTTGAAAATTTTTAAACTTATAGTCAGTCAATATACTTAAAGTTACAAATCGTTATGTACAGTCTATCTTAAAGAAATAATGATAAACATAATTTGAAAACTTTTATCCATCTGAAACAAATTAAATTTTTAATAAAATTTTTAAATAATCTACATATATGAATATCATTCGCATTAAAATCAAGTCAATATCTATTTAATATTTAAAAAAATTTTTAATTTTATATATTTTTAAAATTCGAATTTTTACACTACTGCCATTTTGTGAAATCTTAATACAACTTTCTTATTCGATAGCCAATAATGACACATAGACATAGGAAGTATAGACTGCGCATTCCTTATATCCTTAATTGAACTTAACATCTGTGCTCTGTTAAAAAGAAAATGCAATATTGAGTAGTTTTGTTATCTCTTTTGAATTCGCTTTGGTGGGAGAAACATAGAGTAGGCTGTCACTAATCATAGAGTCACAATGTCCTCATTACTGATATTTTGAAGAGAGAGAACGACACAAATCAAGCTACTTCACTCTTTCTAAATTGAAAGCGGCAATTTCAAAGAATGCGCAGTTTAGGATACTTCCTACGTCTGTGTAATGACATTCATTATAATAAAATATGTAGATTAAGATGGTTCTTTAGTAAATCGAGTTATGACAGAAATGTCTAATTTTTTAATATAATAAAGTTGAAGACGTTGAAACCGAATGTGTGCAAAATTCTAGGGTAGGTCACCGATGAAATAAAAAAAAAAATGTTGAAAATGTAACTTTTCACGTATACGTAATGACAGATTGGGATCGGAGACGCTTTTGGCTAACTGCACACAAACGAGCGACAGAATTTTCTGAAAAACGAGATTATAATAGTTCAAAAAATTATGATTTTAATGAACACAAAATAGTAATAGGTCACCGACCATTCTGGAAAGATATTTAATGCATGTTGAAATGGAAAAATATTACATAATCTTACACGGTCTGTCAGTTTAATTTCTTTTTAGTGATTTCATTTATCACTTTTGCATACTAAATATCGTGTTTAAATATTTGTTTCATATTATTTCAGTAGATGTACACGTAGTTTTAATATTTCATCCAAATTATGCAAATATTTATGATTTTGGATGGGCCCTGGTGAAGCACCCCAAATTTTCGGCACTTTACTCAAGAATCATCTTAAGGTGGTTTTATTACGCAGGTCCCAGTCAAAAGTACTTATATGAGTAATAATTCAATGAAAACAAGCGTGTAACACTAAAAATTTCGTTAAAAAATATATTTATGTAATTTATTACGATCATAAAAAAGTAAGGAATATATTCTAAATATCGAAAATACGAGTCGCTTACGAGTAAAAAAAATGTCACTTGTAGTCACAAATATTTGTTAACATTTTTAAAGCATAACTCGAAGGGTTTTTCTGTTCCCTTGAGATTCGAGTTATTCAGGTTTCACTGTACTTATTATCCCTCGGAATACGAGTAGACGCAGACAATTAGTAATCAGTTAGCTAAATCCGCGCGACTAATTAATTCCCACGATCAATGATTCGCGTGCGCGAAAATGGATAGACTCCGAGCGTTGTGACGCCTTTAAGAAATATTATTGCAATTAATTTTATATTTTAACATTTGTCGATAAAATCTTTGTATACATAGATAATTTTTTAAAACTTGTCATCATTTGTTAGATCCATCCGTCACGCCAATTTCGGAAACGCGTGTACTCTCTAAATTTTTTGGAGTGAATCTCATTCCAAAAGATTGAAAATACTGCCATTCGGTCACTTGAGTGGCAGTATTTTGAAATTCACTCCAAAAGAATGAAAAGCCACTCCAAAAAATTTAGAGAGTAAGTAATAAGTAGTGAGCAAATTGTAACATGAATCGTACTTATTGCTTATTCATTCGTTGTAATGCACGTAAAGAGCATGTCACGTATATACGATTAAGGCGATGCTGGAATACCGACATTTGCATTCTAAGTAATAACTCCGAAACGACTGAACGGATTTGAAAACGCTTTTACAGGATTGAAATAGAGATAAAATGTAAACGCGCGAATTATATATTTGTAGTAAAAACGAAAAAATA